ATGCCTGTACAACTGGTATGCTCCTGCATAAACAGGAAGAAATATATCTATGTATCCACTGCTGTTATTAAAGAATTTGAAAATGATGAAGTCGACCAGATAGGTGATGGTAAATTGAATATTTGTGATAATGATCATGATAGTGCAGATTTGTCTTTGGTTGATCATCATGAAATGGGGGAATGCCTACTACTGCTAAGTTGAATAAAGGTTCTGTACAACTACAACGTGAAGTAGAATCGAATGCAGATGCAGTTGCAGAAGGTATGGATACTTGTGAGACCGTCAGTGTAATTGATCAGCGTGTAGCCCACTTATCATCAGATGATAGTGCTAAACCTCAGCTAGTGTTAAAAGACAGCAGTGGTGGTAATCTTGCAGTTAGACAATTATCTGAGAGCCGAACAACAACAGCTTCTGATCCACCACTGAGTTCATCAACTGGTATCAATCAGTTGTCGTTGGTGTTGTCATCCACAATGAGAAGGACGCCCGTCAACTCCAGTATCTTGTGCAATGACTATGATAGTATTGGTGCGTTTGAAAAGACGAAAGATGTTGCTCAACTTAGTGAGGATAAGCCAAGTGTAAACGAGAGAGTAATTGTTAAATTGACTTGCATGAATAAAGGCATTTCTAGTTTCAAGTTACCATTTGAATGCTATTATCTTTGGTGTAAATTACTCTGTGCCTACGCTTGGTTGACCAGACACGTTGTGTGTTTGTTCGTCATCTATATTTTACGATACAATGACATGAACCTGTTACCGTTCAGATTTGAGGATATAGCTGATAGAGGGAAGTCAGCCAATGAACTCTGCGACGATTTTCCAACCTAGAGCGTCAACCTGAGAAGGATTGTAGGCGTACTGCTGTAAGTCCTACAATTCATCATAGAGTAACGCATCAATGAGCAGTCCAATGTGCTTGGTGTGTGATTTTGTACATATGTTCATATTGTATATACTGAATTGATATCATATTTCATCTGGCTGTTGGTAATTTTGTTTGTGTCTGGACGACTTCCACTTGGGTCATCAACCTGAGAAGGAATGTAGGCGTACTGCTGTAAGTCCTACAGTTCTTCAAGGGTGGTTTATCGTGCCAGAATCCACAACATTTGATGTATTGATTGTACATATGTTTGTGTTGAGTAATTGTGTGAGTTCCAATTATTGTAATTGTTGGTTAGTCTTGTTTGTGTCCGGACATTCCACAACTTACAATCGTCAACCTGAGAAGGTTTGTAGGCGTACTGGTGTAAGTCCTGCGATTCTTCAGAGGAATTCCACCAAGACATGATCGGCGAGGTTGATTGTACTATTGTATATACGTGTGGTGTGTCATATCAATTTGTGATTTCGGATCCATCGTGTTTACTCGTTGTTTTCGTACCTTGTTGTCATTGCGTAATTTTGTTAAAATTTCCGTCGTGATTACTTCTGAAGTTGTTTCGAGTCTTCTACATCCGTGAATGAATTGATTGATGTTAGAGACAGCAGATGGGTCGTATACGCCGGGACGCTAGGTTAGTGCTGAGAATGAAATGCATACTGAGACAATTGTTAGCTGTGGTCCCAGAGGCCCGAAATCGAGAGTGTATACGAGTGAGGTTTGCATACGTCACCGTTACTAGTACTGAAGCAGAATGAGTGACAAGCGATTGCAGTGGTAATTGGTAGTGGGTAGATAAGAGGGTGTGTGTAGAGTGTCGTGAGGTGGTGCTATGGTAACGTTGCATTCTGCAACAGTCATTCTAGCAAGTGGCGGTTGTGTTGCAAGATATCAATTGGATAACTTTTACTGGAATGCGCAGGTCGTCATCGATGTGTGAGATTGTGCTGTGTGTATACTTGTGGTGTGTTGGCTTTTCTGTTTGTTTTCCATTTCAGCTCTGTCCATGTGAACCAGGTTCTCGCAATGGCATCCAAGTCAACGTGCATTGGTCGTGAAGGAAAAAAGGGATTGGATCCCTTTTTTGCCGGGGAGTGTCAATGGAGCTGAAGATTGAACGATCAATTCATGGTTGTTTGCTCAAACCCAACTTCCCTATATTTTCGCGGAGACATCGATACATGAGTCATCGTCTCATCGGTCGCTGTTCAGCAAGAAGTCAGGCCAAACTCTCAGAAGTAATATTGTGATTTATTATCGTAATATTTGTTCATAGACCTTAGTAAAATCTTGATTGTAATGCTGCGTGTATGGTGTTGTTACAATAAAGAATTCTCGAGTAGCCAATCAGTATTTTGGTTTTGCGTCCGCTCTTGCTAAACGTTTCTGAGAAACTTGAAGGAACATCGTGCGTTCCATCGTAGCGAGAGCTGGGCATTGACGGTTTTCGAGACGTGGCTCACAACTTACTTGAATACACCTTCAAGATGACAAACGAGTGTCAGAGTAGTCATTGTATGATACTACTACATAAGAGCAACTTTCTTCTGGATGATAAGAAATGGACAACTGGACTTACTTAATCCACAACCTTAAAGGACTTGGAATTTGTACAACTGCTATGAGCAACATGGGCTGCACCCCCAAATCACCAGACATGATTCTAGTATGCAAATTCCATTTTAAACCTACAATGGTCCGAGCCAGACTTAAAACCGATCAAGGCAATTATGCAGTTCGTGACGATAATCGACTATCGGTTAAAGAACTTTGAGCAGCAGCCCACTATGGGCCCTTTCGTGACTAGTTCCAAAGCTTTGTCGGCACAAGCAGACCACTAAGGAAATAAAAAGGAACCATCATTTCCCCGCATTTATAGATGGGGACTGGCGAAACGTAAAGAGCTGCAGGCCGGCAGCACTGCTTCCAGTATTAGCAAAAGTACCGGAAAGCCCGATCAACCACCATATTGGGTGACAGTTTGACACCAACAAAATGCTCCGTGAAGCACAGCATGTTTTCATGGGAGATACGCCCCTTATAAAAGTTCTCATATTAGCATGGAATAAGTGGACATCGTGCTGAGATATGATTGTTTCGGCCCGTGTTATCTCTCTAGATTTCCTGAAGGTATTTGACACCGTTCAGCACGAAGTATACTGAGTGAGTATTGGTGGCCTGCCTCTCGTGATTGGAGGACTGCTTGGATAGAAGTGAATTCCGCACCAAAATTAGTGATATCAAATCCTCCTGACAAAGGTCGCCGCAGAAAATTTCATTTGGTTCCATCCTAGAGTAACAACAGAGGACTAGGGCCAGGAAACAGATCGTTTATTTAGGAAATCAACACATTTATAGATTTTCATGTACATTATTATAGATTATTTTAAGCAAACAAACGCAGTCTTCAGATTGATAGTTTCTCGCTGAACGTTAGTCTTTCATCTCTTTGTGGCCGTTTATTGAAGTTTAGATTGTCTATCTGCAAGTTGTATCCTCCTAAGCAAATTCTGCTGTGACTGGTTGTTGAATCAGTCTTTGTTCTTATTTTTCTCGCGACCAATATTGAAGACGTAAACATTGACGTAAATTACTGTCTACCAATTTGGCTAGCAGCCAGCTCCAATCACACTAGGAATCTTGATATTTCTTGTTTCTATCAACTAGTCTACCATGGCGTCTAAACTGCTAGCCTGTGTACGCCGGTGGCGCGAATTTATGGGGGGCGGTGAAATGCCAGAAATACCCAGGGGTTTTGCAGGTAGACCTTAAAAACATGTAAAACTAAGCACACATCAGTGGCATCTTTCAGTCTTAAAAGGGAAATAGTGTAGCTTCTCACCCAAACACCTCAGCAAGTAACTAACTCCTGGCGTAAAAATAACTTGTCCAGTGCAGCGTCAGACATAAACTCTGGTACCGTCGGTGGCACAGTGGTTAGAACTCTCGACGACCATGCGCATGGTCCGAGGTTCGATCCCCTGCCGGCGCACACCTGATATCTATGGTTGGCCTGCAAAATTTGGGCTACCCATATCACATTATGAAACTTCCCTACCAGTGCCAAAAATATGGTGTGGAATCAAGGTGAAACAAAAAAATAGAAAAACTAAATATATAACTGAACTAATTTAGTAATGTCGCGCTAACAAATGTAGATGTAGGCGTTGACAGTCAGGCACGTTCATTCTTGAATTTTTTCTAAAACTGCACAAAACACATGTAGGTCTGCACTTTGAAAGACACAATATCACTAATCCCCGGTCTCTTAAAATGGGCACCAGTCTTTTTGAAATGGTCCAAACAATAGAAATGAAAGAGCTTATGGATTTTCTGAATAAACCTCAAGAAGAAGATTTGAGAAAATCAGGTCTCTCCACACTCACCTATCGTCGGCTTAGGGGTGACATAATCACTGTGTACAGGGTTAGGAATGACCAGATGCATCCAAACAAAGGTATTCTACCACTTAGTAATAACGTAGTTCCTCACAGCAACCAAAAGGTGATCTCGAATCAAGGAGGAAAAACTCTGGTGTCTTACGACCAATGGAGCTCTTTGCCATCAACTACATCTACTTCCTCCTCTGTGGAATGCATCAAGAGGGGCTGGATAATCATGCAGCAACACATACTATTCACTAGAAATCCACATACTAACCTCTATTAATGGGCATAGTCCTAATATATCTCCTAACACTGCTCGGTACCCCTTGTTTCACTTAAATGACTACTACATCTATTTATCTACGTTTAAATCATTAAATTTAATTATTCATCTGTTCACTTTTCTCTCTAAGTCTACATAGTCCAACTAATTATACTATTATTATCGCCTCCTCGACCGCACTGGTCAAATAATGGGTGAAAGGAACGACTTTGCTCACAGCAACAGCACGTCATTAACACACCATACACTTCAAACTAAATGTAACCGACGTCCGCGGTACTCTCCTGGGAGTAACTCAAAGTTGTGAGGGTTAAGTGGCAGTAAAAACTATGAAAAATTTTTCCAAAGATCAGAGACCTTCATTCCATGGCGAAGAAGCCGACCGAAAGAAAAGATTTTAGTTTACAGTAGCTGCCAAGAATGATATTGGAAATTGTGTATAAAATGGAGGCACGTTTGTATTGAAGGACACACCCAAGGTTGCCCCAATTTCTGCAAGCGTTTTCTACTAGCTTCTTTCACTTCCCTGTAGTCTCTAAAATAGAGACTTGCCGTTCCATTTTTAAGAGGTTGTGTTGATGACTTGGGAGAACTAAGTGAAAACAAATCTAAGTGATATCACACATTTGCCAAAATGAAGCTGACGGATGTGCTTTACGTTAGGAAAGTTGTTCCATTTATGCCATGCGACAGTTGGTTCCGCAGAAATCAGCTAATGAAGTTTGCATTTGTAAGATGTTTCATTATATGATATACATCTTAAGTTATTCAAAGGTAGAGCTGCTCGATGTCCTAAATTAGGCACTAATCGTGTCATAAAAGCCCTGCAATACGTCAAGGATCTAAGGCGTGTTCGAAGGGAAGATATGAAATCTCTGTGGATGGAACGGTTAGAGATAGCAAGTGAACAGTGTGGTTTGCCGAGTGCTAAAGCGCTTTGTGAAGGCTTAGCTCAGTCAAATGTTGCCCTGAATAAGAACATGCTTCAGATCTTATCTATCTACGAACCACGAACATTTTCAGTAGGTCACAGCTTTAACCACTTATTTCCATAGGCTTTGGTGGACTTGTCCAAGCAGTATCATATGGAAAAGGGAGTGCCAGTACCTAACATGTCACCACCTCAAAAAGTTGTTACTAGAGGTTTACTAACCTCTCCTATTGTTCCTGGGAATAGAAATTTATATGAATAAAGTTAACTGTATTGCTCAATAAATTAATAAACCGCACATTTTCTTTCTGATTTTTTGTTAGCACCTTAGCATCATTATTGCATTATGTGTGGTTTCACTTTTGTTTACAGAATTTTAAGGAAAATTTAAGATAAATTCTGGGATGTCTATCTTCACCAGCATTTTTAGAAACAGTTTATCTTTACGCCAAATACTCATTAACTGGGAGGATGAACCACTGTAAGGAGAACTCAATTTTCTCACGTAACAAAAATATTCGAAGAAGAAGTTCGGTCTCAGTTACTCGATCTAGCTTCACAACACTTGATCACATTCGTTCCGCATGGAATCAACTGAAATTTGGTTGGTCTGTACAGTTATGGCCTAATTTTGACCGTAACAGTATTATATACATGCTGGGTCGGTGCTACTTCGACACTTCTCCAGGTTGGTGTGCGTATTATAGACAATGTGATATATATATATATATATATATATATATAAGGGTTGACATGAGCATGTCCCTGCACTCACTCTTACAGGGGAACCGCTTGGGGTTGTTGATAAGTCTGTGCATGTAGGAAGTCGTATGAGTGCTGGCGAGAGGGTGACGGGTGAGATTTCTAACCGTATCATGCAACCTAGGGTGGTACAGTCAACTTGAGCCAACTCTAGCGCCGTCGCCACGTTACCCTGGCTATAAAAGGTCGGATATCCAATGCTTCGCTGCGGACTGTCTTGCTGTACGCCTGTGAAACCTGGCCTCTCCGATCTGAGGATATGCGGCGATGCTGAGTACTCAATCATCGCTGTCTCGGTAGGATTCCTTGTGTTCGATGACATCATCGAGTGAGTAATTCTGAAGTTCAACGGCGTGTATTTCAACACAGTGGAGATCACCATTCACTGAGTGTCGTCATCTGGGAACACCTGCTTCGGTGGCCTGAACACGTACTACGAATGTCATCCTAGAGGCTTCCGTACTGGTCTCTGTTCGCTAGCCCTCGGACGGGATGTAAAAGGCGGAGAGGTGGTCGACGCATAACGTAGTGTCGTGGGATGAAGAATATTTGTGTTAAGTTAGCATCGGTTGGTGCGTCACGACTTCATGGTTGGAGTTCTAGAGATAGCTCGAATCGGTGGCTCTAAACGTTATCGGATACGGCGAAAAATCGTAGTCAATGGCGAACGTGCTGCAGTTTCTTTCTTTCTTCCATTCCCAACGATAGTTGACGAATGCTGTTTGAACTTGTTAAATATGACTGTTTTCCTTCCAGATGAAGTTCTTTATCCGTTCTCCACTTATATTTTTTTACTTTTAATCTATGCTTTATTATTATTATTATTATTATTGTGTGGTGCATCTTCTTGGTACCATATTGTACCAAGTGTTTTGTGTTTATATATATATATATATATATATATATATATATATATATATATATATATGGTATGGAAGTCCTTTATCGTTGACACGTTTTGTTATCTTGTATGCATACGACTCGCTTACTTATATGTTACGTTATCTCATGGACATAAGCTGGAAAAATTTTTCTGGCTTTATGTAGTTTATTGCTGTACAAAATTAATTCCATCCGCTCATCACATCTCCACTACCCTTACTCTGTAACATAAACACTGGCTGTACATTTTTTCTTGGGAGTATAATTACTTCCATGCGTTTTTCGGCTTCCTTGTATCATCTGCTTTAGGTTAAAGCTAATGTGATGTAATAGTCAGACTTCTAATATCCCACTAAGTTAACATGGTCTATATCTTGATGATTGGAAACAATTGGCGATATGGCTCAAAATCGCAGATGCATCCACTCCTTATGACTTATGATTTCCAATGAAACCATATTTTTCTTCGTCATTACTATTCATTTGTCTCACACCTCTCTTTACTGCCTCTATAATGAATTTCTTCTACTTTCTTCTTTTGCTTTGTGTGCTACATGGAGTGTGGCGACTTGAACTTCCGCATATCTGTGCAAAGTTCTATGTCGAAAACAGACAGACAGATCTTGATTTTCGTCACATATTTGGTAAGGGAAAACAGATTTACGGAAGAATTAACCATCATAATTCAAAGTATTTTGGTTCAAAGAAAGAACGCACTAAGGTGATATCTCAAGAACCCGGTGCTAAATTGATAATGACCATCATTTTTGATGGTTTCGTTCCTGCAATTCGCCTGTCGTAAGCAATCAAAGAAACAATAATATGATGACACGTCAAAGAAATACAAAAGTAACATGTTCACTCCCACCTGTTGTTAGGAAAGTTATTGCTTGTGTTTCATTTAAGCATGCACTAATCACGCATTGTTTTGAAATAATAGCTCCAAAATCACGCAAGTAGAAAGTTTCTATATGCTCATTTCGGAAGTGGAAATGCTAGTCTTGTGTTTAAGAAATGAACTAACATCAATCCAACAGATACTAATATTGATTTTCATCTCGGTTTTGTAAGGTTTAGGTATAGTGTTCAAAATATCCAGTAACCTTCAAAGGAACGTTCACAAGAATCACAAGGTTTATTCAACTTCTGAACTATTTGTGGTGCAGACAGATACTTGTTGTTTCCATGAATGATTTTCTACTTTATTGACTTCACCTAGATCAGGGGCTGATTGTTGTTGAAGGCCTGGGTCTGTTTTTATTTTGCTCTGACTCAATAAACATTTACTTTTGAGAAGCTGGCTTCCAATGCTACACAAAAATGATTTGTCTCATCCAAGCTTTCTATCTTCCACCCAACATCATGACATAAATTTAACAATATAAATGTTGCTTTAATGTTAGAACACTTAGTTTTGCAATTACTAGTGTTCTCTGAGCTGGCTGGTTTAGTTGTGGAGCTTTCGTCGTCCTTCTGGACATCTTCAACCCGATATTTAACATAAAGTGAAATGATATAAATTTCTTCATGAGTGATATAATTGCGTCTCCCGGTAACCATCTTTACATATGTATTGACCATTTTCTATTGACTTGGATTTTAAACTTTCTGGTCACCTGATTTACTTTTAAATCATTTCACTTTATGCTAAATACTGCGCTGAAGATGTTGTCCAGGAGGACGACGAAAGCTCCGCAACTAAACCAACCAGCTCAGAGAACACTATTAATTGCAAATCATCCACCTGAGCTACAAATCTTCTCTATTAGAACACTTAGTGTTGGTCTGTAGTATTTCTGGAAAGACATCTAGAACCACAACTCACCTTAGCAAAGAAATTGTTTCTCATACGCGTACGTAAAGACAGTAGAGTTCAATGAAACTTATTTTATCGCCTCAAAAACGAATAGGTCAACGACAAGATCTAGATAAGTATGTTAATAACTGGATTAAAATCTGGTGAAGGATTCAACTTACCTCGGATTAAGTTACGCTGACGCACCACTTACCCTCAATGTAATCAAGGCGTTGATATACTTTTTTCAACTATAATGAAGGTTGTGAATGTTGTTTAGAACTTAGAACGAAACGATGCAGATGGACATGATAGCGACATGTCATTTTAGGTTAAGTAAGGCTTCATTGTATGCAATTCAGGTAACTGACTAAGATTTATTTTCAGGTACCTTTCACTGACTAATTGTTTTTTTTCAGTCACTTCGATATTATGTAATGAACGTCACTACCCATCACCATGGAGTTATGGTGTGGGTAACGTGTTTGCACTTGCATTCTTAATTCATCACTTCCTGACAAACTTACAAGATGATGTGTTTAAAATTAACTAAAATCAATAAACCTAATGGAATTCCTCCCAATGTCAGTCGGTGGTACTTTTTGACATTTTGCGGACTAGTATATTTGACGTCCTACTGCATATATGAAGCATGTTTTAGATATTTTCACTACTGTTCGACATTTATTCAACTTTGCAATCTTAGACAAATGATTATTCTACATTATTCCAACAGATATGCAGTCGTTTTTTGAAAATGTTTGAGTTCTGTCATTTGATCAAAAACCGCTGATATACGTACATTTTCCTTTAAGTCTTTTTTCACATGTGCATGCTTCCTAATATTCCAAGTTTTTATAACTGATAGTTTGGACACTAGGATGTTTTAGTTGTCAGAAAATTAGTGAATTCTCAAATCATCTTTACTTAACAGTAAATATTAAAATTAACTAAACTTTTTCTTTATATGCTTTAGATAATCATTTAAACGCTCCAAAGGACATAGTTTGGGGCGGAAATTTCTCAGACTTTACTGAAGACTTCGCAAGTAGGCTATGGTTCACTTATCGTGACAGCTTTCCTCCACTATTGAAAAATTCTTCAAACAACCATAATGCCTGTGCTGCAAACTTACCTAACTCTCTATCGAGTATTTTTATCAGGAGACCATCTTCGTGCTACTGTGAAGCTACTCAAACTGATGCTGATCGTCTCAAAGCTAAACCAAGTATGCGCCAGTCATTTAATTGTATGTTTACTTATAGCAATAAAAAGCAAAGACCGTCACTTTGTCTCACTATCTGCATATGGTGTTGATTCGACATCTATAAAAACCTCGAATTCTTTTATACCTCTTTCTGTTCAAACATCTGATTGTGGGTGGGGATGTATGTTTCGGTGTGGACAGATGCTACTTGCTCAGGCTCTGGTCGTTCATTTTCTAGGCAGAGATTGGAGGTTAATGAAAGGTAAAAGGTTAGTATATTTAGTAAATATCAGGTCACCACTAACTTTAATTAATTAATAGGCAATAATCTGTGTAATCTTCTAGCTTGTTTTACAAAGAATTGGCGAGCTTCTATTTACGCATGAGAAACATGGCGACCAATCAGTGTTGTTCTCTCTTTCACAAAAGGTATCGCATGCATGCAGCTTACTCTGGCATGACCACATGATACTATAATTTAGTTACTGTCCATTACTGACATTAAATAACATTGAATTAGCCTTATATCACAATATATATCTACAGCATATAACACGTTTTTAAGTGACAGTTACTATCTTGATATAATATACAGAAATACCTCCCAGTTATCCCAACTATAGCATTGTTATTCCCTTGGTTTCTCAGTGGAACATAAAACTTAAGCAGCACATCCCGATTACACTCGATTCTCCGCAATTTCTTTCAACTGGCTTCACGATTTCCCTCAAACTTTCATTTCTTCCTCGTATGATTTCCTCCATGTCACCCTCGGACGCCTAACTCGTCTTTCACCTCTCATTCGGGTTGCCCTCGTGGGATTGGCACACAGTGTCACTCAACAGTCTTCTCCTCCATCTACATATTCGTTGGGCGGTAAGTTCTTTGTTGGTTCGTTGCCAGAGTTCCTTACCGCCAATCCTTTTTGATCATCTGTCGTACATCATGGGACGAAGGCAGCTGTTGATGAATGTTTGCAGGCTGTTGTAATATATATGGAGAGAGAGAGTGAAATACTTGTCCACTTGTGATTACACCCAAGTAAATGCAGTTCAATGGCTGGGCTTTTTTCTCGGTTATTTAACTTAACAGCGTTAATTATTCTGAGTCTAACCGAATCTTTGCATTCCAATAATCTAGCTGAACCCTATCTACTAGTGTGTAGTCAGAGGCCTTATGTAGGATTCTCAATGAGGCTAGAATTAGGGTGGCATTTAGACCAACCAACTCTCTCGGAGATAAACTTTGTCGGCTTAAGAACTCAATAGATCCAAACACCATGTAATGAGTGTGAGGTCACTTACATAGGTCAGTCAAACTGGTAGATTGGGAGCATTTAGATTATTGGAACATAAAAATTTAGCTAGACCTAGAAAGATTGACACTTCTAGGTTAAATAACCTAGAAAAAAGTTCATCCATTGCACTGCATTCACTTGCATGTAATCACAACATAGGGTGAGAGTATTAAAAAGTAATATACTTAGGTGGTGAGACAGAGAGGTTAATCACTGATGCTTTGTTTATTGATTCAACATCTCACACATGAAATCGGAATGACGTAAGGCCAATGGAAAGTGGTAACAAACAACAAAGAGAAGTTTGAGAGACAGAATAGAGACCTTGCCACTAGTAGGTCCTGGGTTTGAACCCCGGTGGGTGCGTATTGCTGAAGAGTCCCAAGCACTAGGATGAAACAGCTATCCAGTGCTCCTGGGTTTTCCAATGGTTCTCTAACCGATGTCAGCTCATGATGAACTCCAACCAATCAGGCAAAATCCCTACAAAACCAATACTTGAAAAAATATATAAGACAAAGTGTGAAACCGTGTGACTAAATTATTATGATTAAAAGCAATAATTTATACTCGAAACGTCATCCAGGTGTTAATACTGAATCTCTGTGATATTTAAAATAAACTAATAATCTAATATGGTATCCAACTACTCATATTAGTCAATCAGTATTGCATAGCACAATGTTAGGTCTTCTTTTTCTGCCCCCGTGAAAATAACAACTCTTACGATATAAAAAGTAATAATGGCCCATACACATTGAGTAGCATCTTAATTCATTTTATTCTTTCAGCTGGAGAACCTTTAAAAACCAGGGAGTACCAGACAGCTGTTTTGATTACCGTTCAGCAGTATGTATGACCCCACCGGCGGTCGAGCCCACATCACTCTGCAATCAGACTTGGGAACAATCAAGTTTCGATGAACACTCACACTTGAAAATTAACCTGTTTCTCACTTATATGACCGACTGCAGGATGAAGTTGCCTGGAGATCTAGTGAGAAGTCATGACTACTGAGGTCTACCAGGTCAGGTGTGAGGACAAACATTCACCGATAACAGTATCTAGTAGTGGCACTTAAAAAGTCGTGAATTGACAAAAAATTATAATATATGGGCTATTGGATTCAGTCCCTGGTGATGGTGTTCTAAGTGTGTACTGTTAAAGAGTCCAAAATTAGGACGAAATAGCTGTTCACTACACCTCTACCTTCAATAGTTCTCTTACTGATATCAACCCGTGACTAAACCAATCCCTACAAGCCAACACTTGAAAGTTTTATCCTCTATGAAGGTTTTTTTGTCGCATCTCTTCCATTTGTGATTATCATTATTTTATAAAACACAAAATAATTGAACAAAGAATATCCTTTTCGATAAGTTCCTCCTCTTCTGGCCCTACAATTTCATATATGTTTATATACATTAAATATTCTAGAATAGTCGTCAATATCAATATTAGTGTTCTTTAAATACTATCGATTTGTTAAGTAAGATCAATGGAATTACAGTTCATTAAAGATGCTTAAATTATAATAATAATATAATAGCAAATAGAATATCAACTAAAATTAAGCAAATTTCTACAAAAAATTGAAAGTCATTCAGACCTGGATACCCAAGATAAGGACAATGTGGATTCCAACGGCCTCAGCAATAGTTAGTAAACGAACTCTTAAGGCGAAGTTAAGATTTGTTAGTATGCGGTAAATGACTTAGAAAGCCTTGCTGACATCAATCTGATGGAATTCAGTCTGCACCAAAGAAAGGACCAGACACATCAAACTACTTACTAGTGTCCAATCAAGGTGCCCATCACAGTCCTACAGGAGGTCAATCGCGAGCCTCAATAGTTCGATGGCAAAGTCTCTGACTGCAGCACTGGGTGGTGCGGACTCCAGTCTTAGGAGGGATATGAGTTCCTTCAAGGTTGCAAATACTCCTTGCTGACTGACGAGTGCACTAGCACGAAACCTAGGTCAGGCTGGTCTTCCTGCCGATTGCCTCCAACCATATCATCAAATCGATGTACACCGTGATGGCGAGATACCTAGAATGGTGGCCACATTGCAAGCCTGACTGATAGAATTCAGTCTGCACCAATGAAAGGACTTGACACATTACACTAGTTACTAGTGTCCAGTCAAAGTACTTATTATTATTACTATAATTTAGGCATATTTAATAAACTGTAATTCCATTGATCTTACTTAACAAATCGACATTATTTAAAAAAAACACTAATTTTGTTAATGACGACTATTCTAGAATATTCTATGAATACAAACATATATGAAATTGTTGATCCAGAAGAGGAATTTATCGACAAGGATATTCTTTGCTCAATTATTTTGTTTTTTTTAAAGATATCTGAATGAATATTTTCGCTATATCATTGTTTTCACAATTTACGCTTCAAAAGAAATTAGTAATCGGTAGTTATATATACTATGAAATAATTATGACATTTGATTTACTTCCAATTTTTTTTAATTCGTCACATTTAATACTGATGATACAAAGTTTGAGTCTAGCTATAATTATAATGCAAGTGATTTGATTCTAAAGTTCATCTATTTCTAAAACATAAGCTATACAACTGCGACAATAATATATATATATATATATATATATATATAGAGAGAGAGAGAGAGAGAGAGAGAGAGAGAGTAGAATATAAAGAGCAAGGTTAGTCAGAGGTTAGTAGGTGTGTTTACACAAAAGTAATTGAGAAAATCACACAACAATCTAACTGTCAGTTGTAGTCAATGCAAATGTGAGATTAGCTTTGGTTAACTGTTAAGTTAATTGTCAATCGTAATTGATAATATTGTTTGCTATGGGGGAGTAAACGTCGATCAATGTTTTTCATATCTTCTCTTTATTTATGTCTTCATGCTGTTTATTTCGTTTTCCTTTTTTTCCCTTCTAACTTTTTACGACTACTGATCTCGTTACTGTTTATCTTGATTTCATTCCTTTAGACGCCTATAACTGTAGACTCTATTCAACTATCGACTGTCTGTAATTATAGTGTTTCTTAAAGAGATTGTAGTTCTTCTATGCCTCCTATTGTGTCATAGCTTGATATGCTGGCGTAAATGGAATATTATAATTCAGACGAATATGTGCTAGTTATGTCACTAGTTTTGTAACAACAGAAGACCAGGGCCAGGAAAAAGATCGTTTATTAAGGAAATCAACACATATTTATAGATTTCCATGTACATTATTATAGATTATTGTTAACAGACAAATACAGTCTTCTGATTGGTTGTTTCTCACCGAAATTTAACCTTGCGTCTCTATGTGGCTGTTTCTTGAATATCAGATAATCTATATGCTAATTGTATCCATCTACGCAAAGTCTGCTGTGACTGGTTGTTGAATCAATCTTTGTTCATATTTTACTCACGACCAATATTGGGGACATAAACATTGACGTAAATTACTGTCTACCAATTTGGCTAGCAGCCAGCTCTCACCACATTTTGAGAAGTCATCTTTTACGCCATTGCTTTTAATTTCTAAATAATAACTTCTGTAATACATGTGGAAATAAGATGCTTGTATCCTGAGAGACTGCCTGATAGTGACTGATGAATCAATAGGGAATTTTGCATAGTGGTTCAATAACTCGAGATACCACACTTCATAACAGCATATAAATTGAACATGCATAGTAAAGAGAATAACAGTAAGAAGTGGTGATGTTCAAAGTTTCGAAATTGTCAAGGGACAAATATGTATATCTATATCTATTTCAGTGTGAAGCTCTTCGTATCATGTCACAAATTTGATTCTTAGCATGCTGAAGATCTCAGCCAGATAACCTAGATCTGTATACGCAAGTAAGTAAGTAAGTTTTCCAATAGATTGTCGTCAACATTTGCTCAGAGCATCCATCCCCAAGTTTTTTAGCTGCATACTAACCCCAAGAAAGCAGGGACAAATGCATAACGCTATTAACTAGTGATTGATCAAGATGAGCAGTTGAATACCACTCGCACCAACTAGTAGTAATTGTTAATCACATCAAAGTGACATAAACACTGAACTGCCATTTTGCTTGTTTGGCACCGAATTCATCAGCTGTGTACACTCAGTTTAACTCGGTTCAGATAGGCTGAGGCAGTTCAGATAATCCGAATTCTGGCTACCTACTTAAGCAAACTAGTAATGCATTGACATTTATATTATTAAGCTGGTCAAACATGTTGATCTGAATTATTTCGGTTTCGAAACAAAACTATTTGTAAGATTTCACCTCCTCGAATTGTGTAAATTGCGAATTTGATTTATCCCCCGTCACCGAACACAATGCACATCGAGCAGTATAGCAGTTTTAGTATGTGTAACGCAGTTCCCAGCCAGTACACCCAATTAGACAATTACTTACGTTTCTTGTCCAACATTTTACACCTAGTCTCAACATTACACACCAAATTACTCCATCTGATGTAAGCGAGTTAATAAAGCCACCATAAATGTCTGTCTGTCAATGAGATATTTGTTAGCAATTACATATTAACTTTCAGAGGTTGGAAAAATTAGTAGGGCGTATTCACTCTTTATGTGTGAGTCGGTGGCACAACGGTAAATGCCACCTAGGAAGGTGTAGACTTACATGTTGTGGTCCTCGAGACGGTAAAAACCAATGGCTGGAAACAATAGGTGATATTGCTCAAAATCATTCTCAATCTTTGATGCAGATGCAACCACTCCGTGTGACTTACAATTTCCAATAAAACTATATGGTTCTTTCATATTACTATTATTTTTGCCTCACATCTCTGTTTACTGTCTCTATTTTGCATTTCTTTTTACTTTCTTCTCCTGCTTGGTGTGCTACATGGAGTGTGGCGACTTGAACTGCTGCACATCGGTGCGAAGTTCTATGTTGAAACCAATCAGTTAAGGAGAAGCTTGCCAACCCTGCAGGTGGCTTGGGGTTCTATCCGCCAGCCGACGCGCTCCTTTACTTCACCTAGCCAGTAATAAGACTGGTAAAGAGGGAAGGTTGGGCATGAGGAGGCTAGTAACCCCATCCCGTATAAGTAAATAGCACTGCTACCGAAACTTCAAAGCTATAGCTTGAAGCCCTATATTCCACTGGGAACACAAAGGAATAAAAAAATAAATTCACTCTTCATAATCTGTCAGACCCACTAAATCTTCATGATTCTCCCACATATTGCCGTTTATTACAGTCACCTTCTCCCTTATCTTTACGTGTGCGTCATGAAGTTTAGCAATGTTGAACTACTACTGCGCGTTTGTGTAACGCGCGCTACACTGAAAGATGTTCAGTTCATCTGATATGTAGTAGGACTGCCAGTTGTTAATCATTTATAATTATCTCGTCATCTTTATTTTAGCACTAATATTTCTGGAGGTTCAGATTTCAATCGTCAAATTATCAAATGGTTCAATGATTCTTGGTCACCATCTTCTCCCTTATCTTTGCATCGTTTAGTTCATGTAAGTGGTAAAAAACCAGGTGAATGGTGTGGACCAACTTCAGTGTGTACAGCAATTTTACATGTTATGGCACAAGGAAGCAGTTTAGATAATCGTTTGGGTCAAATAGAAGTGTATCTAGCCCGTGATAGAGTTATATATCGTCAGGTAATTGTGTAAAATATTGAGGATGATTCGTTTTACGTATTGTTATGTAACGTTTTACAAAAACCATTAAAAACACTATAAAATAGACACTATTTTTGGTACTGATTATAGAAGTTTTATTAATTTGTTTATTGCAAAAATAATTAGTATTATCAAAGACACAGGCTTGGTACATTACTAAGACCAGCATATGCGCCACATAAAAATAATAAAACAATATGTAGAGAAAATAGGGATAAAATAAATGAGGTAGGGGGGGGGTGTCTTCCAGAAGGTAAGCAAGCATACCTGTTAAAGATCATTCAACATTCGTCATTAATTTGCATTTCACGTAGATTGACTATGTTGAAAATCGATGGAATGCTGTTTAGAATGATGGTGACTAGTCGTGGAACCCTGTTTGACGCTTGAAACGATGGTCTCAGGGTGTTCGAGTCTCATTAGGAATACCCTCACTCACTGCAGATGCAAGTTCTGCCAGATCACGAGTCCCAAAATGGAATGAAATGTGCATTCTGTATTCCATTACTAGTCACCACTAAGCAAAATAATATTTCATATTTATTACTATAAACTTTTTTCTCGAAGTTCACAGTTTTATTTAAGAGAAACGTAAAACTAGAAAATAATTGTAGATCAAATCAGTGTTAACATTATTTAATTTTCATTGGAGAGATGAATTACTCGTCAAAAATCAGCACTGGTATATGACACTTATAAATTATTCACTTAAGCACTTGGTTTCTAGCCAGTGAATGTGTTTTGGGCTCGAATCGCACCTCAGCTTAATTGAACTTAAACAACTGTGTAATAGTGCCATCAGTCCTAATACAACCCATGTAGTTTATAACCTGGTGTATGAATAGTCTGGTTCGAACAGTTGAATTCTAACTAACTATTCACACTCACTTCTTATTGATTACATTTTATCATGAATTAATTGAAATGTATCATAAGTTCAAATTCTGTTTTTGTGTTACCATCATTTGTTAACATGATCAAAATGACAGTACTAACACAACACAGATCCTCTAAATTGTTGTTAGATGTTTGGAGGTAATCGGTAGAAAGGTTAGGACTTAGAGTTTGTGCTTGTTGGTATTTGTCAGTAAGTGGTATCTGTAATCCCTTTCTGAGATTCGAACCCCGATCACCTAGTGTGCTAGCTACTAAGCTATTCGGGTTGGTGGTGCACTTATTGTAGAATTGCAATGGATAATATCATCGGACACTAAGTAAATGACTAGTGTCATGCGTCTAATCCTTTGTTTGGTGCAAGCTCAATTCTCTCAGTCGAGTGCTAACAAACACAAGAACTAGGTCCATAGTTACCTGTCGACTGCCTCCAACCGTCTAACAACAACAACAATAGGAATTCAGAGTGCACTGTGATAGCGAGCCACCTAGAATAGTGGTCACACTGCAAATTTGACTGATAGACTGACAACAGTCTACATCAAACAAAGAACAAGACTCATGATGCTAGTAACTACCTATGACCCAATCAGAATAACAAGTATCCACTTTTGCTTAATACTTAGTTCATGTTAACAAATTTCTCTGCTGTTATTACACGTTGAAGAATTTCTAATTGATACTTTCATATTACTTTCAATAACCTATATATATATATATATATATATTTAAATGACAGAGTAATATTCACTGTTTTTTCTAAAAAAAATACTTCCTCTTATCAAGGAAATAATGGATATCGCAAGAGGTTCGTACACCAAGGATAAAATACGGACCAAACTACATTTTACTGATCATACGGCCAATTATCGTTCACAGGTTAATCAGACAAATGGTATGTGCTTTAGTCTCAATTATAAGCAGTTTATCAATTTGATTGGTTTCTGTTATATATATATAATAACGATTGGATCTTTCCAAAAACCATAAGGAATAAACATTACAATCATGTTTCAACCGGAGCAGCCAATCAGATCGTTGAACTTTCCAAATAAATTTATGCATGAAAACTGATTTGACAAGCTAGACAACAACACCTATGAAAAACCGAGAGATATTTTTTATTGTTGGGGTATAATTTATTTTCAGTGGTCAACTATCTGATTGGTTGTTGCGATTGAATCATGATGGTAGTATCTATTCGTTGTAGCTGTCTTTCTTAAAAATGAAGATCTGTTGCACTATCAGGTTAACCATTTTAGATATTTTTAAAGTTTTTATGCCTTTAATGCAAGCAACCACATTATATTTGAACGATAAAGCCATGTATATACGCGTTTCTTCTGCATCTTTTGCAGGGATTGTTCTCTCTGTTCTTATCATACAGACTTAAATAAATTTTTGCTTGATATCCGTTTTTATCTAATGAGTTTTCTGTGTTCCTTATTTCATCTCCCAGAGCGTCAGTTGTACAGATTTTCTTACCATAAAACATCAGAGTAATACTGGTGAGGTTTCGTTTATATGCCATAGGAAAAAACAATCTGAAATAGGTATATTGGCTAGTGCACGGCTTCTTCCGGAAAATATCCTGGCATATAATACTGCCTTCGTATTAGGAGGACATCAAGAAATGATAAGGTTTTGTCTTTCTCTGTCTCACATGTGAATTCAGTTTGTGGGTGAGTCGTATTGCACTCGCTGAGAAGGATCTGGGCATCGATTTAATCCTTATGTAAGATAGTAGGTGTGAATTTCTTCTAAAAGTAATTCGGGACGGTAATCCAAACGATTACTAAAAAAAAACCACACATTGAGTGACGCGTAAAATTCAGAAACACAGGATTTGTCTAAAATATGGTACTATTTTAAACATAAAATAATGAAATATGGTATATAAACCTCAACTGTGAGGTATCTGCCGTCAAAAGTACAGTTAATGTAATGTGCATTAATAAGAAGAAATCAGCAAAGTTGTGTGGAAGGCGATCCATGTGTAGATTTAAACAGGGTACGAATGCCAGAAAAAGAATGAAGGGATATGAATGGACAATACTGATTAGTAGATGGTATATAAGTAAGGTATATACGGCAGATAATGTTTGTGTGTCAGAAAATAATTACTATACGTCAAATACACTAGGTGAATTAAACTTCAAAGGCGAAGAAAGTTATGGTTAAGAAGTAACAATTATGATTCATACTACTTGCTAATAGTGAGTAGCATAAGGTTAAACACAAAAGAAAGAATAAGAAAGGAATTAACAACAGGATCGTCTACAGTAGAGTGAGCGTTCGTTGATTCCATTCTTAAGTGGGCTGTTATCTGATTTCGCTATAAATATATAGGCTAGCAGACGGCCCAGGGGGGAGGCCTTCGCAACGCCCTCAACTTAACAGTCCATTTTGCTGTTTAACTCGAATTGTACATTCGTCGTACAACGAAATAACAGTTCCCGTAAGGTTTGAGGTGGTATGCATACTGCCATAACATTTTCTATCAGAGATTCATAAATGGCTTCTAGCAAAAGGACTTTAGTGAACAGGGTAGTGACATCCATAGACATCATTGTTTCATTGTTCATTTTATGTTCCACTTTTTCTATCAATTTGAAATTGTCGCTTAGATGTTTACTAAATTTCTAGCCAGCTAGACTGATGATATATAAGACATATCTCTGAACTGCGCTGAATATGTTTGAAATCCAGTTAATTATACTTCTTCATTTGTGAACAGCTTAGCACAATACGTTCAACACAAACTACCAAATACTAGCTAAATAGTAATAAGATAAATAATAGCAATTGTGAGAGATACGGGCACATGTAATTAAGCCTTTTTCATAGGTGTGGAAAGGAGTTATTGGAAACAAACTTGCTGCGCTCTGGACTCAGTATACTTGTGTGCATAGAACTGAGGCAGTCGTTACTACTTGAAATTTCTTCAGGTAGTTGATTCTTTACTAAGTCTTCTTCAGGAATACTGACTGACTGGTTTCAACATAGAACTTTGCACAAATGTGAAGCAGTTCCAGTTGCCACACTCTCCCCATGTAGCACAAAAAGCAAGAGGAGAGAGTCAAAAAAGAGACAGATAATGAACGGAAGTGTGAGGCAAAAAGAATAATAATATGGAAGAACACTAGAATTTTATTAGATATTATAAATCATTAAGAGTGATCACATCTGCGCCACAGAACGATCCTGAGCAATATCACCAACTGTCTCCAGCCATCGGTTTTTACCGTCCCGAGGACGCCAACCAGTCAGGAAGTCTACACCTCCCTACGTGACTAGCTTAAAGTAACTGTTGCGGATTTCATTGCCTGGTGAGGCCATGTTTTGGTTTGACCACTATTAGCTCTTTTCCAATCTAATCCATCCTAAGTCATTCAACTAAGATTGCCCGTCGAGGAAGGTGACGGCTAAACATGCATGCGTAACACACCCCCTAACTACCTCTATCGATGTAACTTCACAACCTATGAATACTGTAATCATATCAGATGATACATTTGGCTGTTTCAAAGATGTTATATCCAATTCCTTACACAGTTGGAATATCTGCTGTAGCATTTGCTAACTTAGTCGTGAAAACACCGTACGATAGCTTTTAGATGAAAGTCCCTTTTCATCATTTGATGAAAGTATATTGTTTAAGTTGGTTATAATACAAAAATCATTTTATTGTTTCGTTCACTTCCCAGCATTTTTATGAGAGGGTGATAATAACAGTTCATCACTGAAAACATAAAACAATTCCTAACCTATATATATATATATATATACAACGATTTTTCCTCAGGCAGTGTGAGTGAACAAACATATGAAAGGACTCAACCTCGTGTTTTTGGTAAACGATTGTGTCTTGTGAAACAATTTTTCCTATAGCTCATTAACGCAGAGTGTATTTATTCATTCAGCTATACGTGACAGTAAACGAAGTACTGCTAGGCTGTTCAAGTATTTCAGAATAAATGTCTCCAAATACTGGCTCACTTATACTCCTATATCTTTTGAATAACTTAGTGGCATGGCTTACATCTTCAGTCCTTAGCTACCAGGTGAAAGAGGTTGCGAAGTCAAAAAAAATGATAAATGTACTGATAATGCACATAAAATGTCAGTATTGTAGGAAGTGCACTTCATATTCAGATCCATGGTTGACATATCCAGCTGGAGAATTTTAAGTAGAATCAATGTTATCTCAATGCTGTACACTGCCACGTGTGGTATCGGATGCTATAAGCATTTTAAGTTTGATCACAGACTGATGTCAGTTAAAAAACCAAGGTGTACTGGACAGCTATTTCATCGCAGTTTGAGACTCTCCAACAGCAATTGAAACGAGAACCTTCCGGTTACAAGGAAAGCTCGTAGACCATTCAGTCAACGGGACCCGATCCAATGGTTCATGAATTCCAACTTCTACCACTTACTGGTTTATGGCCTGACCACCAGGCGATGTCATCGGAAAGTATTTGTCCTCACGCCTGACCTGATGTACCCCACCGGTCACGACTTCTTACTAGGACTTCAGGCGACCTTGTCCTGTAGCCTGCCACTAGCAAGCATTAGATTAGTTACTTTCAAAACATGATAGCTGTAAGTGTCCCAGAAGAAGTGAAAGATTCTCACGACCGAAAGTGTAATCTTTCATATTCAAACTTAACTGTTTAGGAAGCATATAAATAAGTAGCGCATAGAATACAATAGTGAGATTTCTTACGAGGTTAATGATCATTTAGATGCATGTGCCCAACTGAGTTTAAGGGAAAAATAAAACTTAACCGCCACATGGAATTCCATGCAGTTGACAATAAGCCACGCCTTTTAAGTGAGCGCCGGTAACACTACCTGAATGCTCAAATAAACGTGGGTGAGTGGAGCGAGATTCGAACCATGTGATATCGGTGGTTAGGACTCTCGCCAACCGTGCACATGGTCCAAGGTTCGATTCCCTGCCGACGAAGCACACCTGATATCTATGGTCGGCCTGCAAAATTCGGGCGACCGATACCACATGCTGAAAATTCCATACTTGTCCCGGAAATACGGTGTGGAATCAAGCTATAATAAAAAAAGAAAATCAATAAATCAACCGCCTAGAAAACGAATTTAGGGATCTTTCATGAGAAAACGATCTCTATTATGATTGAAGATTGTTGGCCTATTTCTTGAGCAAAGTTAACCTCAAACTGCAATCATTCCAGTTTTCTTGTTTCTGTTGTGTTACATCCTACTTATCTACCATATTTCTATTTTTTCTTTATCAATCACACTAGATCCCGAAAATACTGGATCATCAGCTATCCTTCTCCTTATTCCTCTAATGTTTGGCAAAGAAAACTGTATCAATCCATGCTATATACAGGTGATACTGAGTCTGTTTTCTGATCCAACTTTTGTAGGGCTAATTGGTGGCCGTAGAAAACATTCAAGTTATTATGTTGGTTGCCAAAATGATTCTTTAATATATTTAGATCCACATTTTACACAGCCAACTCAAAGGTTAGATTCACTTAAATTTCCGATTGATGTAAGTATGATTCTTTTTTTTCAGTTGTAATAATGAATGCTTAAATTTTTGTGCATAATACATTTGATGATAATGCGTTCTCTTATACGTCAAATTTACACCAGTCAGTGCCGACTTTGAGAAATTTTTCGCACATGTATTCAATTTTCAGTGTAACGTACGTCAACTTCACTTTTAAGCGCTTATCACATTGAGAACTACAAAGAGAAGGAAAAAACCAGATAGACAGACAGACGAAAAACTCAAAGTTGCATTTTACAACTACGACAACATGACGGTTGGTTAGATAGAACAAAATCAAGATCAGTAATACCAACAAAACATAAGCAGTGCCCTCCCATAAGCTTATTCAAGTAGAATTAATCGCGAGATGCTCTTCACTGGGTAATACTAGTGGATATGCAACAGTAGAAATGCAGAACAGCTCTTGCTTTCCCAAAGTAATTATACAGACATTGAATGTTTTACATAGTTCTGTGTAAGTAAACAACCTTCGAGATGCATAACAGAACAGTTAACAGGCTTAGGATATATGGCTGAATTAAGTCCGTCACTCATTTGTACAAGCAAGATTACCTTAATTTTCAGAATTCTGGAATATACAGAACAAAACAACTAGTCTTCTGCTATATATATTCGTGATCATCCCACAGTGCAGTCCGGCCACTTGATAACCAATTATTATTAGCAACATACTACAGAGGTCTCCTTCACTTGTAACTTATGAGTAACAACCCATCCAATTCGAGGATGGTAGTTGCCACGCTCTTATGCACTCCTGTGTGCAGCTCGAATTTCATAAGTGAGCTTTGACAACTAGTTATCCAGTGGAACATAGGGCTTCAACAACACATCTCCACTTTCTTCTGTTTTCCGCCACCCTCTTCAACTGTGTTCACAATTGCCCATAATTTCTCATCTCTTCCTTTTTTTCACGATCTCCTCCATGTCACCCTAGGACAACCCACTCATCGCTTCCCATTTGGATTCCACTCTAGCGTGCGCGATATCATTCGGCGACCTCCTCAATGTAAAACCGATCCATCTCCATTTTCCCCTGCATATTTCTTGAGTGATCAGCTCGTGGTTGGTTTGGTGCCAGAATTTCTTGTTGCTAATTCTTTTTGGCTGGCCACTTGATCTTCAATATGGAGCGAAGGCGACTGTTGGAAATCCTTTTTGTGAAGCGCATGTCAAGTTTCTGATGCCTACAAAGGACCGACTTGAGATTGGTGTTGAAAGTGCAAATCTTGTCCCTTATACTAAGTGTAGAAGATTTCCAAACTAATTTCAGGTTGATGAAGACATGTCTTTAAATAAAAAAATAACTAACCCATGCTTAGTTGAACTAAACAATCGTTGAGAATGACTAAACATCACATTGCTGGATTCCAAGAAGTATCATAGCATTTCTAGTCGAAATCGCGAAGATATAAAAATAGTTACTCAGAGATTACAGTGGTGGAGATCTATAGCGAACTGACAAAATCTTCGTCTTCACAATCCAGTGACTTGCTCACTTTAAAGTGTCAAACCACGATAGAACACACTGATTTGAAACTATGTCTTTAGCTAATCCTTATTTGTGACAAAGAACAACTACATTATATGAGCAAACTTTTATGATCGTCCTTATTGAATAAGTTTGACAATGGTTTATACTTAATTCTCATTAAAAAACTTTCTTCTTCTTTTTAGTCTTGGTATTGTCCTATTCCAAAAACTATGAACGCAGCAAAACTCGACCCTTGTTGTGCTGTTGGATTCTACTGCAGAACTCGAGGTGAACTCAGTGATCTTATCGACAGATTACCTGTATTATTGTCAATAAACAAGTGCGCAGAAGAAACATCAAAAAGTTCGACGGTCAAGAGCATTGTTGAAGTACTAAGTCTTGAAGAAATGGACGGTGTGTAAACCACCTCCCAGTGTAATAGTCTTTCTTGTATTGATTTTTGAATGGAAACACGTTTTGATACACTTCTTTAAATACATATATTATTTCAATGCATACTTAGATGTTTTGTTTTCAAACCAATAACCTCAAGATAAACTGCTACTTTTTATTTTATATCGATTTAGTGCAAACAATTTTATTGGGGAAAATAACAACCCGTAAATTAGAGTAAAGATTATCTCTGTAAAAATTTCAACGAAGATATATTGTATTACAAAAGGAAAGCTGCCATGTGTGCATAATGTATTCTAAGAAATGTTATATTAACAACGGTGTGTATATTCAGGTGGCATAGATAAAGAAAAGTTAGTTGAAAGTAACTAAGTAAGTAGGAATAACTTTAACACTCATGTGAATTATATTAAGGAATGTTAAAATACTTTTTAAAAATTTTTAAAATGCATCGAAGATCCACAAGTGTTGTTGTAAAAGAAAAACTACTTCTCAACTAGTCACACATATCAACTTCATGGGGACCTAAAATTCCAGGCACACAGGCTTGACGTTTTAATTTCGCTGCTTGGGCCTGAGCAATTTCAGCCTCTCTTTCCTCTAAATATAAATCAGACAAATCTTCTCCTGCAACCTCTCGTATCTGAACCAGAAAATCACGTACATGTTCTCGAAACGCTGCAACATCTTGATCAAATGAAAACAGTCCATCAATGAATACACGAATTTGTGTATCCTGAAGATGAGGGAAAACTTGTTTGAGTAATTGACTTAAGCTTTGATGCACATATTGTACGTTGACTTTTGAACCTGGTGCAATAGTTGTTTCAGGAGAATCCCCAAGAGGCACTGTAATGATATCATTCTCTACTATTTTAAACATGTAGGCTAGTAGTGAAGACTGAAGAGTTAAATCTAAAAGAGAGGAATGAGTGAATCGCGTTAGTCAGTCTGCTTTGAAAATATTTAAAAATAAAAAACATACTGCGCATCCTAGTGCACAATCATCTGAATACAAATTCTTACTAATAAATCATCCTTAATCAAAGGAAGATAACTTTATTATACTAATTAGGTATGTAATGTTAAGACATGAAGCAGTACTTTTACTAATGGCAACATTATACGCTCCTGCATACTTTATTAGGCGGGATATTCATTAACGCATTATGAAAGCTTGGACACTGCTTTAGCGTATAATTCGATGCTAGTGTGGGCTTATTTGATGTAGTAGTGACGAGCTACAACAGATGAACATATCAACACGGTTACAAAGTGTTCATTGCTTTTTTGACTAAAAAAGCGCCCTAACACAACCTCTTTACACTAATCACAACCGTTATACCGAGAGTTATCATTGCTGAAGTACAATCACTGTAACCTCGTCAAGCTGAGTATGATTTACGCTACTTGAAGTTCCACGCGAAACAAGATCTCATTTTATGTAATGAAAATGAATTCGTCGAAAAGAGACTCTTCGCTGATCTACGTGTTTTGTTTTCATTAATGCTTGGATGGGGATTATCCATGAATTTTATGTAATTATTTTATCCCTTCAAGTTCCGAGGGGAACATAGGGCTTCAAGCTGAAACTTTGAAGTTTCAGTAGCGGTGGTTTTATTTATTTTTTACAGGATGGGATTGCTAGCCTCCCCATGCCCAACCTTCCATTCTTTACCGGCTTTACTACCAGAGTTAGGCAGGGTTTAGGAGTGCGTCGGCCGGGAATCGCACCCCGGACCACCTGCCTAGTTGGCGAGTGTTTCACCACTGGACCATCGACGCCACTCTATATAATTAGCTATCGCATAAATGTTAATTATACACCTGTATGACTACAGCTTTTTGAACTTGGTATATGAACACTTTTCCAGAAATTCCTATACTGTAAAATTAACTTCCCGGTTAATCAGACTATTCAAAATCTTTACTACAACAGTCTACTTATTGAGATTGGTGTTTGCGGGTTCACACCAGCTTTCTCCTTAATTGTAGGCTTCTAGAATAGGGATCCCTGCTTATGTATTGTAAGTTTCACCAACCATAATAGTGACACACTTGACTACCAACACAATTCAGTGTACATCACAAATAGTTAAATGCAATACTCACTTCCTGTTTGAGAACGATCGGTGATAACAGCAAACATATGCTGCAGGATGTCCATGAAGAATGTCTTAAAGAATACCTGCCTTTGTTCAGTATTAGCGTTGGACATATTTACAAGCATTGTATGCAGGATATTCAAACCAGTTTCTGAGACCTGAAATAAGAAAGATTGTTTAATGATCGATTCGTAAAGCCAATAACGGGTGAAACGACTTACAATTAGGATAATACTGTACACTGACATCACATGACAAAAACTGCATTGACATGAGCCAGACAGTTATCGTTATGCTATAAAACTGCTTTTGTAATTCATCAAAACTTTACTCATGCTGACAACTATTTCAGCAATAGGTTTATCAACAGATACCACCATCCACAAAAACCCTTTTTTAGGTTCAAAAGTCTCTGATTTATACACAACATGAGACTATCTGTATGACGGATATCCGTAGGAGTGTTTTCGTGAAAAGCAAGAGGATTAGAGTAAGTGTGATTATTATGACTAACCTATATACCAAATATATTTACATGAACTCCAAGAGAAGTTAGTTATACAAGAGCTTATTCTATTCATCATTCTCGAGGTTCTGGTATTGTAATGGTTTTTTTGAAGCAATCTCTTAAGACAGTACACACTAGATGGCTTGAAAAATCTATTAAAATAGATTTTTAAAGAGGTTTATCCTCTTGTATAATAAGGATAAACAAAAGTAGACAGAATATTAAAATGTAGACTGTAGCTATAATATGCAAAAGTTATGTGGTTTTTAACATGTCTGCACGAATTCCTCTTTGGAAAAGTTTAGTCCTCTGATACAGCAGGATTCTGATGAAACAGCAAAAAGTGACATTCTAAGTTAAACTTTTTTATACGGCTTCCACGTGCACACACAGAAAAGCTTTAAATGTGCACGGTCGGCGAGCGTCCTAACCGCCACCGACGCACTTTAAATGCATTTACACAGAATAATTTTAATTTGTGCTCTTGAACCGCCATAAAAAGTGATGAAAGCAATTTAAGCTAAAAACCCATATCATCAAATGAAACGAACTATCAATCTTCATCAGAAATGAGCAGGTAATAGGGATTTACAGTGTGTCTGCAGCACCAACTCAAGCATTTGTAAAATATGTGAAAATTATTGTGTCAGGTGTGTGAACCTAATATATTAAGTGATAGTAAATCGTTAGTTAGCCAGTTTGATTTTAATGCCTTGAACATGAATTCACTAGTTTAGAAAAAATTACAGCCTATTTTGTACCAAAATACCTAGTCTTTTTTTTTATTCCTTTATGTTCAGAATGGAGAATAGGGCTTCAAGCTTGAGCTATGAAGTTCCAGCAGCGGTGATGTCAATTTCACTCGGTGAGGTTGCTGGCCTCCCACGTAACTTTTCCTTTTCGCAGGTTTACTATCGACTAAGTAAGGTAAAGGAGTGCTTTGGTGGGGAATCGAAGTCGGAATACATACATGCGTCGTAGTTGATGAGCGTTCTACCACTGACACACACATTACACTTCAGATTAGATAACTCCAAGAAGAGCAACAAAACATTGTTTTTCCTGTCAGAAAGTTGTAGTAGGAGACACAACAATCTTAAAAACGTCCAGTTTCGTTACTTATTTTGGGATTCTGTAAGAACAACATATCTGCATCATTCAGAGACACTGAGTTCTAGGTAAACAGGGTAAATCAATCGACGAAGTCGTGAAGTTACAAAGACTGAGATGGTTAGGACATGTGTTACGTATGCCAAGCCATCGCCTCCCTCGACGAGCAATGTTAGCGGATATAGGGTCAGGCTGGAAAAAGCTAGCGGCGGTCAAACAAAAACTTGGCACCAGTCAATGAAATCCACAACAGTTGGTCTAAGCCACGTAGGAAGATGTAGACTTCCAGGCTGGGGTCCTCGGGACAGTAAAAATCTATGGTTGGAAACAATTGGTGACATGGCTCAAAACCGTTCTCAATGGCTGGCGCAGATGCATCCACTCCTTGTGACTTATGATCTCCAATGAAACTGTTTTGTTCTTCGTTATTACTCCTCCTCCTTTGTCTCACACCTCTACTCACTGTCTCTATTATGCTTTTCTTGTACTTTCTTCTCGTGCTTCGCGTGCTACACGGAGTGTGGTGACTTGAACTTCCGCACATTTGTGCAAAGTTCTATGTCGAAAACAGACAGACAGACAGACAGACAGAGACACTGAATGAAGTGTGGAGTCAACTAGCTATTTCTTCCTACATTAATATCCCATCTGATGATTTCTCTCTCTCTCTCTCTCTCTCAATATTCCCACACCTTGGAGAACTTTTTTGTGGTCAAAATATGTAACAATTAGAATTGATGCACCAACATGCTCTATTCTTTCAAAGTATAGACAATATTTACCTGGACCAAAAAATGTTCAGATGTATTCAGAATGATGAAAATATCAGCAATAGAAGTTTATAACGTTTGAGAAAAGTAGATATACTTACTTGTCGCATTGTATGTTTTATTGCCCATATTACACTATCCAAAATTAATTTGAATTTATCAGGAGTTAGACTTAACAAAGCTGAAAAGCAATGAGCATTTACAGCTTGAAGAAGAGTAAAGAAATTGGTTCGATGTTCAGGGAATTCTTCCAAGTCTTTATCAATCATCTCTAAGGTAGACTGGAAGACAGCGTCTAAAATCCGTGGAAGAGCTGGCAGAATATGATCTTCAAGACGATTAACAATAGCAGCCATCAGATTTAGAACTTCTGCTTCTCGAGCAAAAGGCAGATTCTTTTGATAATCATCGGCTACAGCATCCAACAATGGAGGCACAATATTCTCAGCAACCTATTATAAGCAGAAACATACATAGATAAAAATGTTTAATACAACTTTTACCACGAATTAGACAAAATATAGAGTAGAAAATATGTGCAGGGAAAAAATACAACTTACAAATACAGGATCTGTAGATCTCTTTATCCAACAGGATAAAAGATTCAGTATAGCCTTCTTAACCGATCTCATACTGCGAATAAGTGGTTGCTTTGTCACTTGTTCCCCGTTGCTGGCTACCGCTTGACCGATATTCTGAGACATTATCTTATAGACATTTAACATGTCTAAATAAATACGACCAAGCTGAAGAAAAGAAATGTTTTTATTTATTTTTTTTGTGTGTTATGCATACTTACCTGAACAAGGTAGGGATGTCCAAGGGATTTACAAGCACTATGATTTGTTTTTAACAAATTACAAAGTTGCTTTACAACTTCAAATTCTCTTAACAGTTCAATATTACTTGCAGCTTGAACAAGAATTCCATCCCAGATCTATAAATTAACAGGTTATGCATCAAAATGTGTAGAATATTACTTGATTAGGTAATCGGAAGAGTCGTTCTATTTGTCTGGCTTGAACAGCTGAATCCGATTGGGCACTGATTATTACTCCAACAGCTTCATAAAATGTATGCACTTGTTGTGGTTGTAAATCGTTGATTATGATATCAATTTCTTTCAAAATGTCCTCAATGAATTCAACTGCTTCACTGTACTGTAAATTGCAAAATACAAAATAAATCAATAAGAAATGTTAACGAAATATTAACTGTACTTCAAGTAATCAGTATGACACATTGAAATGTATCTGATTAAATTCGTCACTAATTCTAAGAATGAAGAATAAATGGGCTCCTTGATACCAGCTCCTACTAAAAGGAATCAAGATGCATTAGAATGCGCCTAAGTAGGAGTAAATAACACAGAACGAATCATCAGAGAGTTTATGCGGTGTGTACGCGTACATTCAAAAGCTTAGTGAGTTTTTTGACACTCGTTGAAAGGTTTAATCGGCAATATGTAAATCAAATAACACGATCAAATGTTGATAAATATATTGTCATGAAATTAGATTCCCAAGACTAGTTTCTTAAGAGATTATACGTCCACCAAGTGAGTGTTAATTAACATGTACATTAACTTTCTAACAATAGCGATACTTTCGATCAAAACATAATCACCATCATATAGTTTTGAAGACTAATCATAGATATCAAAATGGTTGGTTTGACACACTTTTGTTAACAATAATGATGCTGTCATAGAAATCTTCAGTTTAGTCATAATGAGGGAATGAACACGCAAAACATTTTCTTAAAGGATATTAGCAAACAATAGTAATTTCATTACTTGGTATTAAGCAGTAATTTTGTAAGAGATATTTCAAGTTCGATCACGGATTGATATCAGTTAGAGAACCAGTGAAAACCAAGGAGTACTAGACAGTTGTTTCGTCCTAGTTTTAGACTCTTCATTAAGGTATTTACCCATGAAACCACCGGGGATCTAACTCAGGACCTTCAGGTTACGAGACGGGCTCATTGACCTTCAGTCACTGGGACGGAATCTAAAGACCTGTGAACACTAACTTCTATCGATCCCCAATTTTCGGCACCAGCTAGTGAAAATTCGTGACCAGTGGGGTCTACAAGGTTATGGTGTGCGTGGGGGGGGGATGCTCACCGATGATATTGGATGGCGTTGGCACCATGTATTACGAATTGGAAGAATTTTGAATTCATGGGCTATTGGATTCTGCTTTAGTGGCGGGACTACAAAAGAGCTTGTCTCGTAACCTGAAGGTCCTAGGTCTGATACCCATCGGTATAACGTGTCACTGTGCTGAAGAGTTCCGAACTAAAATGACACAGCTGTCCATGACTACTGGGTTTTTAATGGTTCTCTAACCGATATCAGTCCGTGTCCGTACTTGCAACAAAGCAAATCCCTACAAACTAACACTTGCATGGGAAATTACCAAAAAATCTTTTTTAAACTATTATGTGTATTACTAGCTTACAACAGCTCAATGAACTTAACACATAACAAAAACAAACTTTCGATTAAACGTTACTTAACAGGAATGTTCTATGTATGGTACAGTTAAAAGTCCATAAATGAATTAAATTTACAACTAAGGATAAATGAAAAAAGGGAGAAGCGAACCAAGAAGGAAATACCAAACCTTCACATGTATCCTACTTTTTACAAAATCATTTAAAGAAACCTACTTACTTGTATAGTCACCAACTGTCGTCGACACTTTTGAGCAATCTTGATAAATGTATCACAAGCCATATCCTGTACACCTTCATGCGTTTCATGCATAAATTCAAAAAGCTTTGTGATCACAGTCTTAAGGAATCGCCAATGTGCACGCAAAAATCGAGGATACTGACCAACAACGTACATAATATTACTTGCCACAATAGCCTTATTATCTTTACCGCGTTTTTGTTCACATAACCCTAATAGGTCTCGTATAACAACAACCAAGAAACTTCTTTCATCATCTTCCTGCATAGCACCGGAGATACTGCCGATTGCCCAGCAAAGAGTATTAAGGTTATGCCAAGACCACTCTCGACCGTCTACTTGATTTTGTAACTTTTCAATCATAATTTTCTTTGTATCCTAAAATTATAAAACCAAATCATAAATGAATGGCTAGAATTAGCTGCACATCGAACTAACAGGAACATTAAGTAAGAAAACTTTCTAATACACTGACAGTAGAACTTATGCACTGTAAATCCAAGTCGGTTTATTTATAGAATCTACTACGCAGTGGAACGGTCTGATTGGCGACGAAATATCAGCACGGATCCAAAAAGCTCGAGCTGCTTTTGCTAATTTACTCCATCTCTGGCGTAGGCGTGACATCCGGCTATCAACCAAGGGACGTGTGTACTGCTCAGGAGTTCGCCCCGTCCTTCTCTATGGCTCTGAAACATGACCAATACGAGTTGAAGACATGAAAAGGTTGACTGCTTTCGATCACAGATGTCTGCGATCTCTTTCTCACGTTAGGTGGTTTAATAAGGTAAGTAATGTTGACGTTAGGCGTAGAGTGTTGGGGAGAGAGGCTATAAAGTTACATAGATTGAGATGGCTAGGTCACGTGCTGCGCATGCCTAACCATCGCCTTCCCCGACGGGCATTACTAGCTGATATAGGTGCAGATTGGAAAAGAGTAAGTGGTGGCCAAACAAGAACATGGCATCAATCCATGAAATCCTTGACAGTTAAACTGGGTCGGTCAGGTAGGGAGATGCAGACTTCTGGGTTGGGGCCCTCGGGATTCTAGGAATCAATGGCTGGAGACAATAGGTAACATGGCTCAAAATCGTTGTCAATGGCCAGCGCAGATGTATTCAGTCTCTGTAATCTTTCATATTCCTTTCTACCATTACCCATTCTGTTTCGCTCTTATACCTGTCAAACTCTATTGATTCTCTTCACTCATCTTCTTGTCTACCTTTGTGTGCTATTTGGAACGTGGCAACTCGAACTGCCGCAATTCGGTGCCAAGTTCTATGTTGAATCCAGACAGACAGACAGGAACAGTCTGATACTTTAGGTGACGTGGAAAAGATAATTCCTAGTTCATAATCAGATCAGATCATCAAAACAAAAAATACTGTTCCCCTATGTTTTCCTGGGGGGAAATGAGTACGGTCTGATTACCCGTAAACACTTTAAAAAGCAAGCCTCTTTCTTTACAGTATATACCAGCATACAGTGTTACTTCTTAATTTACTATTTCGTAAATTAGAATAACTTTATTCTTTCGTGAAATCGAATAGTTTTCAGGTAGCTTCACCAGATCTTTCAGGATACGAAACACAACATAATAATGATTTACCGATTTCGAGAACGTCGATTACTGAAAGATTCGTGTCAAAATAGTTTACAGTTACTAGAGGGTCTTTAATAAGTGAAGTGTGCGTTACCCAGGCAAATATTTACCTAATTAATATACTGCCCAACATTTGGCTGAACAGTTCCACAAATATTAGGCGCCGAGTGAAAAGTAGACATTTGTAGAAAATTACATTTGTACAAATTTCACTGTAATTGTGGTAAATTTTTTCAATGTTCCAATTGACAAAGTGGTCCGGACTCTTCTTTTAAATCTCCCTGAAGAACTTCGTAGCAGTTCGCCGAAAGAAACATTGGAATCATTTATTTCACTTAAAGGCAAGATTTTCAACATATTGTTCTATATTCTGTAAAATTACATGGCTTGACTACCTACACTTCACTGTGAAGTGTAATCACGGGTTTATACCGCACAGAATGATTCCTCGTGTGACTGACAGCTGACATACAGAATCACACACAAAAACAAATTCACGGAGCATTCAGCTGCTGCACTTTGTATTAGGGCAGAGACCAGTAGAAAGAAAGACTGGAGCAATGTTGGCAGTCATGAGATGAAAAGAACAAACGACGGACACTACTACTGCAAACAATTCTTAATGAGAAATTCCAATCTCTAGTTATTGACTTCGGTTATCTTTTGCAATCCAACTAGGAGAGCTGATCAATTAAATCACTAACCAACCAAAAATTTCGCGGGTCATCATCATTTTTTCGTTTGATTCTTTTTAATTTTATTCAAAGCAGTGGTGATCTTTGAATAATTCATAAGTCAAGAGGTAATCCATATCTGCCCCAGTGGTGAACAAATGCTTAATATTTGAGGAAAGGACTGAACTTTAACAATCCATAAATGGTCATAAGGAGTTCGGTAAACTGAAAAATGAAAGAACTGCCTAATTGGTGCAAAGAAAACCACAACCACATTTGAACAGAACTTTGTGTACCTATGGGAATCTGGGTAGTTGCTATTTCGCAGCTACTCATACATTGGAAGACGATTTACTTTCGGAGTACTTGAAAGAGTAAGAGAATGCCTGACGACAGTAAAGCCTAGAAGACAACTCGAGAATGGTCAATGACATAATATTTGGATGTTAAGCTCATGGATTCCACCATCTACAGACGGCTGTAGAGTCTGTCCGAGTTCTCAAGGTAGAACTTTATAAAATAGCCACTTTAGAGTGAGTCAAGACTTATATATTTTGGACTAGTCTCTACTACCTACTACGCAGAATGAGAAAGGATCACACCTAGCTGGTTGCTCATCCAAGGCAAATACCTCACTGTTTCATACACTTAGGCCCCTACTATAGTTTGAGTAACTTTTTAGTCAAGCTGTGAATCAACCGACCTTTTTCACACGGAAGGATCTATCTTATCATTGTGTTGTGAAAATCCAAGGTAGAAACTATATTAGTCAGAACAGTTATATTTAAGTGTTGTAGTGATACTGTTATTTGAAAATTCAGTAGTCACCAATTAAAAAATAAGTACTGAAAATTGCTGTGAAAAACGAACTTCACAAGTTGATGAAATTGAAAAGAACTTACAGAATGATCCAAGTGAGTTAAATACACCAAAGTTTCACGCATACTCTTGTATAAATTTAGACTATCTGTATCCTTCATGAACTCTCTGACAACCTCTCCATGTTCATTCTCAACTACAAGTACCTCCTCAGGACGAGCCATACGTGAAATCATAATTCTTCGAAGCTGAAATAAAAAGTCGTAAAATAAGAGAATTGAATGAACATTAATGGGTTCGCCAGATGAAGTGAAGTCTGGGATCATAATTCGTGTGCCTAAAGTAATGAGTTATAATGTTATGTGTAGGCTAAGGCCTGTAATAAGAGCACATAACGGTTAACGGTAGAACCGCTAATCATACTATGAAGATTACTTTTTTGTTATGATTCTGACCAATGAAAAGTACCTTGACTTAGTGTGAGATCAGTCCTCACAAAATTTAACAGCTAAATTCTGATAAGTAAGAACAATTACACCTTTAAGTGATACGTTGTCATGTATGTGAATCTGATAATGTATACTGATAAGAAATCCTTTAAACACGTGAAAGAGATGATGGAAGATATACTGGGTAAAATTACACTGAGAACACAGTGGGTTAAGTAAGATTTGCTCAGTAACTGATACCAGATAGAGAAAAGGAAAACCATCGGACTTAATCTCTTAGTCTTGAGCCTGAAAAGTGAGTATCCACAAACAATAAATATTGATCAGGCCCAGGACAGTTAGATTATGAGAGAAGAATCTTTATTCTGTTAATCACTAGGTTAGAACTGTATAGACTTAATTGGTCACATCAAAACATATTGCTAGGTACAATTATTATATTATTACGCTAAAGACTCTCAACTTAAACATTCATCGCCAACTATGAACACTGTAAAACACTCTTTTACATTTTCAAACGAAGATTTCACTACAGGTTTTCAATGACACTGTAAAAGTAAGTTTCTGTATTATGTTGAACAAACTTATCATAGCTTTAACAGGTGAAAACAGATTCTCAAGAGCAGAAAGATTTCGAAGCCAAAACCTTTTGGAAACCGACTACTTCATTTACATGATTACATGCCAGACAGTTTACAAACTTTTTTTATTTTCCATACCTTTGATAAAATTGGCGCATATTGTTTGCTCCGACCTTCTCCAGTTGCTGATTCTCCCAGTGTTCCGACCATGGGTGATGTAAGACTTTCTCGATACAAGTCGGAAACTAAAATATTCCAATACTCTAAGCATATCTTGAATATTTCCCTTTCTTCAACTTCAGAAAGCATAAGAAGATAAGCATAAGCATCTTGTAGATTCCAAATAAGCTCAGGTTTCTCGACAAGGCTGCCATGTCCTTTAAGGAAAGTGGTGTAGAAAATTGCAAGATTTTGAATGAAGTTTTGTTCATCATTACTTCCTCGATCATAAGCCTCTTTTAATCGTGTTTCCAAGGGTAACATCTAAATAATGCTAATTAGATAAGATTTAACAAACTCACCTCTTTTAATTTTTCAGTAGTGGAGACAAACAATTCAATCAGTTGTGTATCATATTCATCGACCTGTACACCAGCTAAACAAAAAATCTGTGAAATGAACAATAAGACAAACCTATTTCTGCAAGACATTTCAGGGTTACATTCCGGAACAAGGGAACATTGAAGAATTTGAATACAAGGGTTTGTATTAAATTAGTTTCAAATATATAACCTAAAGGAATCCAATGCATGAAACGAAGCAATGTCTCCAATGTGGAAACAACCAAGGATGCATTTTGAGAATTTTCAAGGACGTATTGACAAAGTTGGAAGATTAAACTGAATTGTTGACACATAGAATCCTTAAGATGTTTGGCTTTTGACTGAGTCATTTGTCCCAAAGAGAAGTCAAAGACCTCCTCACTTAGAAGACGTAGAATCACCATGTTGTTTTGACATAGGGACTCGTTGGTTTTACTTGCACCAACAATATCACTAATAAAAGTCGACCAGTTATTGGGCCATTCATGTTTTAAAATCTAAAGCTCAATTAACAAACCACAAAAGCTTCTTACCTCGACCAGGATCATATTCAGCTTGCCCAAGTAAGTTTTTTCAGATTCCAGGAGCTCCGAATTAGATGAGGTTTGTATAATCAAACCAACAATATACTTTTTAATGCCTAATTCAACAATATACTTTAGACCAAAACACTACTTACCTTCACATTGAGGACGAGCAAGAACCTTCCAACGTGTTTTGATTAATGCTTCTAGTATCTGGAGAGCAAAGTATTTTGTCTCTTGATTTGAACTAAATTCTAAGATTGAATCCACGCGCATCCACGCGTCTGGATGCTCCTTGAGTGTATTTAATACTTTTTCTGCTATTTTTTGTTGAGCTCCGGCTTCATGATACATACAATTGACAACGCGATCCAGCAACCCAATATCGAGACGCTGAGAAAAGTCCAGAAGTTGAGCAGCAGCAGATTCTGATATAACTCCCATCGATGATGGTGGCATTAAGTGCAGATAAAAGCCTAAAAACGACATCAAAACTCTACATTCAAGCACTATATTTTAAGCGCTAAAATATAACGATATCGGTCAAACAGAAAGTACCAACAGGAATATTTTACCCCTGCTCACGTGAAAGAAACCCTCTATTTCGTAATCAAGAGAAAAACTATTCAATCCTCACTACAGAACGACCGGACTTATGGTAATAAATGTAAACAAGGAGCTTAAAACAGAAACATCACTAGAACTGTGGGAAAAAATACCTGTAAATTCAGTCCATAAAACAGTCCCTGAACAATAATTTGCCTATAACCATGTCTTAGATTAGTATAAACTCGATATGGTAGGGCGATTATAACAGTGATACCCTGGGTTTGAAAACTATAGTTTTCGTCTTATATAACTGGAATTGAAATTTTCTTGTTTTTTTTTACGGAATTCAAAATATTCACAATAAAAACCATGACCTGATTCAAGCTATAAATTGCATCAAGAAAATAAAAAAGATTCCAAGTGTGTATAGAACTGACAAGCCTAGTAAGAAACCATGCATGCGAACTAGTAGTCCTCACAAGATACATCAAAGTGATTTGAAAAATAGACTGTCGTTTTGTTCGTTCAGAGACCGTAAGATATGAAAATGATGCATTATTCCATGAACTATATGTTCCCCCAGTTGATAACCACGATTCAGGTGGTTTGAAGTATTTCGTTTCTGAATTTAACAACACTCGTAAACTAGGCCTAAAACGAGCGAATTGGCCTTAGTGTACCCTCATAACAGCTTACAAATACAGACTGATATAAACATTTCAGATGAATGTCATATTTTGTAGTATATATTTATTGAATAAATGAAATCTAGTAGTGATCTGCAATCGCGTGAACATTTGTGTACTTGACAAAGAACTACACTATCAAATGGTAGTGTTGGTATTGCCATCTAGCTGTTCAAAACTCGATAGGTGGAAGTCAATATAAATAAACCAATGAAAAATAACCAGAGGTATTAATTAGTGCCTCTAGTTGCCACATTTATGCGTAGACGAAGTAGACTGGAAATAATATAACCCAATAAGTTACTGGTAGGACACAAACTCGTTTACAAGTTGTTTAGCAACTGAAAATGTTATTGCAACTTGTGACGGTATGTCCTCTAGTAAACACTATAAAGACGGAAGTTCTCAGGGACACGTACTACCGAGAACACAAGGCATTCGGTCTACTACTCCGAAAAGTGAAGTCTGAAAGACAATCAGGAAACAAGTTGGGTAAAGCAAAACTTGCTTATTAATCGAGTTTTCGTTAACAGCGTTTCCTAACTACATAATCTACCAACCTACTTATAAGCTAGAGATAATTTACCGAAATACCAAGATACCTACGCCATATGAAATCATACATCTGCCTTTCTGGTTAAAACTAGTTCCAGAATAGTGGCTGAATAACAAATCACATAAAAGTGGATTGATTCAAACAGTCATAATCTGAAGCAAAATAACTGTGGAATAGGAATTTAGTCGGCAAATGTGGCTCCAATTATGCAAATATGCAGCGCTACTATTGTGGTGGTGTGATACAGACAATGTGTTTCGACGGAATATTATTCTCACATATTCCTAAAGTTCAATACTGCGTTAGCAACTGAATACTCTGTATATTTGAACACTCTATTTTATGTCGTCTAAAGTGGGTCAAAATCACACGCTTAATAATTGGTTGAGAATATAAAACTATCTACATAAATAGTGGTTTGATAACTTGAAAATATATCTTGGCTTCCGTGCCTCATCTTTTGTTGTTATACTATGACAAGGAGTCAATCCATTTAAGCCAAGTGATTACCAACTACATCGGAAATCTCAAACACTGCCCTTTAGAACCGTTAGGATGCAAGTCCAACAACCTATATTTCTTTCATTTGCCAAGGCCAACAGACGTTTATGCATTGTCAAGTTTTAGTTTAACAAAGTAGTATTCTCTTGCATTACATTACTCAGTTAAATGATGCTTCCCTAGAACAGTGGTGACTTAATGTAAGTAAAACACGTTCCACCACTTATCTTACAAAATGTACTACCTCATGGATCAATTCTTCTTACTTTCCATATGACTTCACCTGGTGTAAGCATAGCTGCCAGAATCAGAAAAGCTGTAAACCTTTAATATTAGCTTGAGAGGTTTTATTATACGCACAGAGTGATAGCGGAAACTTTTATGCATAAACATTCCAGATACTTCGCTGGAGACAGATAGCAGGTGATGAGTGACAAGCGAACCTTCTGTACTTGTGGTGAGATCACGCTAACAATCAACTCACAACTAACACTTCAGTATAGCGATACACAAGTCACAGTACGTCTTAAAGAACGCGAGTTCTGAGGGATTATCTAACAAATGGTTGGCAGGAAGCTTGAGTAAAACATACTTAGGTTTTCGATTGGGAGGATGTGTATCTTTTGGCGACTTTACTAAAGTAACTATGGATTGCTGATCACAAGGAGTTTAATGCCTCATAAACATCAAAAATAAACACCCATTTTTGAAATAGGCAGTTATTATCACATACCGCAAAATAAGTGTCCTCAGTTAACAAGACACACACAACCAAAATCGACTTTGCAGATTTCAAAACCCAAACTACTTTTTAAGAACTGACTACGAAAAGTTTATTACCTCGTTGACTAACTCTAGTTGGGCTTAAACCATTCATATTTCGGACGGCTGATATACTCTGTAACCAACTGATAACACTCAGTATTGATGAAACACTCATGAGCAAAAAGTGAACTGATGGTGCACCTTGGAATTATTAAACAAATGTCGTCTATAAAGTAGTGCTCACTCTAGTGAGATTCAGGAAATAAATAAAGCATTCTGATCATAGTGAGGTCATTTATCATACGACTAACGATAAGAGGAATTGCAAAGACAATCCAACCACTTTATATAGAGATCAATTCAAAACAAATCTACGCAAGGATAAGTACTTACACGAGGAAACAAATGTGCACGTTGAAGACTGTAAACAGTGCTAAAACAACTGTTAACAATAAGATTAGCTGAAATATTTAGACTACGTAGTCACGTATGTATATACTGTGGTATGATGATATGAGATTTTGACATTAGCACCTGATAAAATGAGACATGGATACTACTCTTGTAAACTAACTCACAGTTTCCTCTTTAATGGGAGACACTAATCAGGTGCCTGAGTAAATACGTCCTGTGTATAAAAGCCGTCCGTCCAGGCGACTATAAACCGGTTTATAACCGGTTTCACGTGTTGACAACCCTACGTTCAAGGTCATATGCCGATCTGTCCAATGAAAACCTGGCTTTTGATATTAGGAAGCATGAGTAAGGAAGCCACTATAAATCCTTGCATTAATTGTATTTTCTGACTTATTCCTTGCAGAAGAAGAAATTCACCCAGCTATTAGAGGTCAATCACTTGGTCGACTAATAAACCTTTTTTAATTGTTATGTTATTCAAGTTATACTGGCTGTTTGATAAGTCCCAAATGGCATAATTACTGACGCCCAATGGTGTTATAAACGTGTCCCCAAACTTAAAATGGCTTTTTTCTGTCCAAGGAACAAAGTTTCCGTTATTACTTCCACATCCTTCGATAACCCAAGTGTCTGGTAGGTCTTTTATAGATGTATTCTAAGGGAAAGAAATACTGAAAGTGTAAACAGGTTTTATCACTTAACACGCAAATCTGCATTCACAAGACGATATACACGTATCATGCCTCCTAATTCTTTAGTATTAAACAAATGAAAGACAGATAGCCAATATATATATATATCTTCATGAAAGAGGTGGGAAGTTTTATTAATGGTTTCATATTAACCACTTAGTCCAACCTTTAGTGAATTATCGGCCAAATGTGCTAGAAGTACAAAACTCCAGACAGGCACACGATTCGTACTTCAGTGACCAACAAAGATGCTACTTAATGAGAAAATCTTTGTTCTGTTACATACGGATACAGTTTCTGAGAGTTTCTACGGTTCCTATTTGTTACGAGTTTTATCACAGATTGATACCGGTTAGGGGGCCATTTAAAACCAGGAAGTACTGAGCAGCTGTTTTATCCTAGTTTGACACTCTTCAGTAGTGCAATAGCACCTGGCTTCAAACCCAGAACCTCCAGATTAAAAGCTCAGTTAGTGGACCATTCAGCCACTGGAACCCGACCCAGCGGCCCATTAATTTTGCCTTCCACTAATTCTTGATTTTAGCCCAACCACCAGCCAGTGTCATCTGCAAGAGTTTGTTCTCACTAAAGACCAGGTGGAACCCGCTGTTTCAAACTGCACTGGATCATTAGTCGGATTACTGTTCGGATTGAGAAAGATTTAAGTCTCTATTGCTGCGAATACAGAAATGTTCCTGAAAGTGAAGCTGCCACAACCTGATAGAAATCTTTAGGTTTTTCGTGGTTTGATGGTGATCCGTGTAATAGAGTATCAGAATATGGCAAGGTAATTCATCCGTTTGGTGCTCCTTCTTTCCCACTTCTTGCTAATTTTGCTCTGCGCGAAGCTGTATCTAAGTTTGGTTTTAATCATCTGTCAGATATCATCAACTATTGTTTTTATGTGGATGACTGCTTAGCATCTTTCAGTCATTATGAGTCTGCAGCTATTTTTGCATTAAGTATTAGCCATTGAATTGAATTCTTGATTTTCCCGTCGATTGATTGAACCGAAGTGCTCGGTCTCGGGTTGAAATGTCGGCTCCTTGTGCAGATGCTTCGACGATGTCCGGGCATTTAGTCAGTATACAATTGGTGGATGGTGGCTATGACCCGTTGCACAAGAGGTGGCTCTCGTGGCCCAAGTGGTCCAGTGGATAACGCTTTGGCGTTTGAAACTATGGGTACTGCGTTCGAGCCTCGGTGGGAACATCATCACTCACTGACAAATGCACGTACATCCAGCTGACGAGTCCCAAATAGGACGAAATGCGCATCCTGGATTCCACTGCTAGCCACCATCCACCAATTGTATACTAAGTATTAGCCATGTCTTAGCTACGGCTGGGTTACGTTTAACTAAATGTTCTCAAATAACCTATTCGTTTTAAAGCATGTAGTTTTGGAAGACAGATTTATCTACTGACACCTTACCAACTGAACCAATTGTCACGTTTAATATCGCAAACTCAAACACTTAAGTTGTACTTTATATACCCTTTTGCATTTTGTGCTAACTGTACATTTAATTGTCCAAATGAGCATTTTCACTAAATGTGCGCGAGTATTGTGTTCTTGATGTTTAGACGCCGAGTAACCCCATATTTAAGAGTTTTTACCATATTTTTACGATACGTTTCATTTAACAAAACAATAACCTTGCAACTCTTCAACGTTCTTATGTCAGTACAATAATATTCGGTGCTATTTGGTTTTATTTTGAGTCCATGAGCACGTCTCCTCAAAAGGTCATTCGTACAGTGGCTGTAACATACATATTTGGCTCGTTATGTGGTGATAAATGCGACACCTATGAAAAGGGTGTGGAACGTGTTACTAAGCCAGTTAAAGAGGAGATGTGCGTTGAACTTGGATAAGTGTAATATTACCTGCCCTGACAAGGACTGAGATTCAGGAGGCATGTCAATGGAGTTGAAGACTGAACGATCGATTCATGGTTGTTTGCACAAAATCAACTTCCCCAATTTTCGCGGAGGCATCAATACGACAGTCATCGTCTCATCGGTCGCTGTTCAGAAAGAAGTCAGAAGACAACCATCAGAAACCTTAATAGAAATATTTTTTATATGTTGGTGTTACAATAAAGAATTCCCAAGCGGCCGATCGGTGTTTTGGTTTTTTCGTCCGTTCGTACTAAGCGTTTCTGAAAAACTGCAAGGAACAGCGTGGGCCCGAGCGTAGCAAGAGCTGGTCATTAACGGTTTATGAGACATGAATGACATTTTCTGACGGTAGAAACAGATCTGGCGGATTCAAACAGTTGGTGAAAGTTTGGATAGTCACCGTTCATCTTTCCTGGTGCCGGTCAAGTCCTCTTTGAACAAGCAATATCTGGAACATTTTTGGAATTGGGTCAAGTTCAACAATGTCTGGGTCAAAGAAGGGACAGAGCGTCTTGGATGCAAACAGGAAAGTAAGTCATGGTGACTTGTCTGTTACTTGCAACGATGTGTCTGATGTTCAACATAACATGGTTGATGTTACTGTTTCGCCGTTCAGGGATAATAGGAACATCAAACTCCCTAAATTTGAACCACGGTGTTTCGATGGAAACCCGGTTGATTATTTACAGTTTGTTAAGGAGTTTGAGATCATGTTGAGTAGTTTTCAATTAAGTGATGAATTGAAGTTAATGTATTTGATGAGATATTGCACTGGAGATGCCGCAAGAGCTATACAGTGTTGTAAGTTTATGAAGCCAAAAGAGGGCTACTACGAGGCTATGAGCACATTACGTCAAAGGTTTGGAAGACCTTCAATGATTGTAAGGAACGTATACGAAGCTGTCAAAGGTAATGGCAGCCAACTTCGAGATGACTCCAAGGTACTTACTGAGTTTTTAGATAATCTTATGACTTATAAGAATACCTTGATTTCGATGAATTGGATGAGTGACTTCAACTTGAGTTTTATACTAGAAGTAATAGCAAGACGCCTACCTACTCGACTGCAAAGGAAGTGGGTGAAGATAAGCTCCCGTATGGAGGATGAGGGTATCGAGCCAAAGTTTGATGATATCCTGAAACTAGTAAAAGATAGTGTCAATCAATCTATGAGCAAGTTTGCCAGTCTATTACATCTCACCCCTAGAATACAGCAGTCTGAGAGCAAAATGCAATCATTGATGACGAATAGGCCTCAGAGAGGTGGACATCGAGAAGGCTCCATGATGTCTAGTAATGCATATAGACCTAGTGAGTGTAACAGGTTTCGTAGTACATCCTCAACAGATAAGTTACAAGATGCAAGACAAACACGGTTGTGTTTTACACGTTTGCAAGAGGTGCATACAGAGGTGAACTGTGAACCAGTGAGCGAGTTCAGTGATAAGCTAAATGTAAACCCCAGGCCTGACTCCGAATTGTGTGACGATAACGGTGTGGTCAAGAAGTCTGTAGTTGCAACTGGTATGTCGTTGTTGAATAGAGTGTCACAGCATAGAGTTACTGCTTCAGAGTGCAGTTCTGACCCTACAAGTTTACAAGGTATTACTAGTCAGAGTGAAGTTATAAAACCTTATAGTATTTGCGAGGAGGAACCAAAATTCTCTACTTCTGTTATTAAAGAGTTTGAAAATGATGAACTTGACGGTAAAGTGAATATTCGTGTTAATGATCATGATACTTCACATTAATCTTAGGTTGATCATGATGAGATGAAGGATATGCCTACTAATGCTAAGTTGAACAAGGGTTGTGTACAACATGAACGTGAAGTAGAAATAAATGCAGATGCAGTTGCAGAAGGCATGCATACTTGTGAGACCGTCAGTGTGAGTGATCAGCATGTTGCCCACCTATCATCAGGTGCTAGTGCTAAACCTGAGCTGATAGTAAAAGACAGCGGTGGTGGTGGTCTTATAGGTAGACAAATTTCTGAAAGTCGAGCAACAACAGCTTTTGATCCACCGCTAAGTTCATCAACTGGTGTCAGTCAGTCGTCGTTGGTGCTGTCATCCACAATGAAACAGGCACTCATAAACTCATGTATCTTGTGCAATGACTATGCTAGTATCAGTTCGTTTGAAAGGACGAATATCAATGGTCAGTTTAGTGAGGATAAGCCAAGTGTAAACGAGAGAGTAATTGTTAAATTGACTTGCATGAATAAAGGCATTTCTAGTTTCAAGATACTATTTGAATGTTATTATCTTTGGAGTAAATTACTCTGTGCCTACGCTTGGTTGACCAGACACTTCGTGTGTTTGTTCGTCATCTATATTCCACGATACAATGACATGGGCGCGTTGCCGTTCAGATTTGAGGATATAGATGATAGAAGGAAGTCAGCCAATGAACTCTGCGACGATTTTCCAACCTAGAGCGTCAACCTGAGAAGGGTTGCAGGTGTACTGGTGTTAGCCCTGCGATTCTTCAAAGGAATTCCATCGAGACACGATCTGCGAGTTTGTGTGTACCGTTTGTATATATGTGTGGTGTGTCATATCAATTGGTGGTGTTTTGGATTCATTGTGTTTACTCGTTGTTTTCGTACCTTGTTGTTATTGCGTAATTTTGTTAAAATTTTCGTCGTGATTACTTCTGAAGTTATTTCGAGTCTTCTACATCCGTGAATGAATTGATTGATGTTAAGGACAGCAGATGGGTCGTATACGCCGGGGAGGCTATTGCTGAGAATGAAATGCACACGGAGATAAATGTTAGCTGCGGTCCGACACGCCGGGAGAAAGAGTGTAAACGACTGAGGCTCGCATGCGTCACCGCTACTAGAACTGAGGCAGAATGAGTGACAAGCGATTGCAGTGGTAATTGGTAGTGAGTAGATAAGAGGATGAGCGTAGAGTATCGTGAGGTACTGCTATGGTCACGTTGCATTCTGCAAGAGTCATTCTAGCAAGTGGCGATTGTGTTGCAAGATGTCAAGAGGAGGTCTCTATCTGGAGGCGCAGGTCGTCATTGATGTGTGAGGTTGTGCTGTGAGTATGCTTGTGGTGTGTTGGCTTTTCTGTTTGTTTTCCATTTCAGCTCTGTCCGTGTGACCCAGGTTCTCGCAATGCCATCCAAGTCAACGTGCATTGATCGTGAAGGAAAAAAGGTATGGATCCCTGTTTTGCCGGGGAGTGTCAATGGAGTTGAAGATTGAACGATCAATTCATGGTTGTTTGCTTAAAATCAACTTCCCCAATTTTCGCGGAGGCATCAATACGACAGTCATCGTCTCATCGGTCGCTGTTCAGAAAGAAGAGTAAAACATCGTCAGAAGTAATATTATGATTTATTATTGTAATATTTGTTCACAGACCTTAGTCATACTTGATTTATATGTTGGTGTAACAATACAGAATCCTCAAGTCAACAATTGGTGTTTTGATTTTTTCGTCCGTCATTACTCAGCGTTTCTGAGAAACTTCAAGCGACAGCGTGAGCCCGAGCGTAGCGAGAGCTGGGCATTAACGGTTTACGAGACGTGACTGACAAGGCATGTGGAACAGTAATGAAGTTGGATGATCCACATATTCAGAGACATATTGAGGAATAGAGGAAATGGGTTAAGAAATTTGAGATCACTGGGTTAACATGCCTCATACGCCTATTTGAGCCATCAAGGGATCACGAGATAGTAGTCTTACTTGTTTTTGAAACACCTCTGAATTCGGATCTGGAACTGTTTCGAGATACCTTATAGATGTTCTTCTAGTGAAAGGGAACTAGGGAGTCCCACCTCTGAAGACTGTTTCCACTGCAAGACTAAAGCTTACTGCTGACTTTCCAGGCATTTATAAATGTGCAGCTGTATTTGAACTACCCTACGAACCCTACAATGTGTGAACCGATTCCATGACAGTGATGTGTCACATAAGTAACGAATCCGTTGGATATTTATGTTTCGTGGCTAACGGAGTGTTTCGAATTCGTGAATCAACGGTTATTGACCGGCTATGGTATTTGCCATCCAGGGAAAAAACCCTGCTGGTACAACATCAGAAGGAGCTACTAACATGAATACAGCTAAGGAAAAGTGGAGGAATTCTCGAAACGTGTGTGCCGTGTATGAACGTCCACAAGTTTTAGGAGCACCACATGAAAACCGTCATCCAGCTGTAATTCCAAGTCATAACCCAGTGACCGCCTCAACAGTGAGACACCATAATCCAGGAAACCATGTAGGTTTGACAAAAGTGCTGTCAAGCACCAGACAAAAATATCAGATAGTAGTGGGGCGCCAATGTTCGAAAACTGTCGATATAGTATGTGAGATATGGGCCGCAAAATTATCGCCTTCCGCAATAAATGATGGTTGCACGTATGATTACCATCTTATCTTATAATTGTTCCCTCGGGTTCCAAGTGGAAAATGAGGCTTCAGTAATAAGAAAAACATTATTAGTACTACAGTGGTACGTATCCACCCTCTTCTGTTCTCTGTACTTCTCTTTAGCTGGTCCCACGACTGCCCATAGTCTCTTATCTCCTACTACTATGCATTTCTTGTCACCCCACTCGTCGATTCTTATTCGAGTCCCACTCAGGGGCCTGATGCGCGGTGGCAACCAACGGTCTCCACGGCATGAGTCCGATCCACCTCCATTTTCTTCTAAATATTTGTTGAGGAAAAGACTCCTGTTTGATTTTTTACAAGCTTCTCTTTACTAATTCCATTCTGGCTATCTGATCATCGACACGGAAGGCAGACAGTTACCGGTAAAAGTTTGCTGTAGTCTGTTCGAAATATTCTCTTAAAGATTTGGCCAAGTATCTGGCACATATAAATGAACTGGCTAAACACTTCTATTGAAAATCCGAGTTTTATTCTTTCTGTTGAATGTAGAGGATTTCCAGTCTGATTTCAGGATGATGAATATGTACCCCGCTCTTGCGATCCCGTCTCTGACGTCCTCATCCGTTTCGTATGTAGCTGAATCGGTGCCACCCGGATAGGT